ACTAGTGCTTCCAGGTTTTCAATGGTGATCTAACATGAATTGGTTCATGATCTCAATTAAAAAGAAATTTTTTTTCTTATTATTATTTTATAAATGTGACATTCACAATTTTTATACAAACTAACTTTTCTGTTTTTGTTTTGTTTTTCTGCTTCGCCAAAAAAAAAAATGATCAAAATTGATAGTTTACTACTGAAATTGATGGAAGTAATGGTAAATTAACATTATGGCAATTTTTATTAGAATTATTATTATCAAATAAATATGAACATATTATAAGATGGACAAATAAACGTGGTGAATTTATATTAGTACAAGCTGAAATTGTTGCAAAATTATGGGGTATGCGTAAAGATAAAAATCATCGTATGAATTATGATAAATTAAGTCGTGCATTAAGATATTATTATCAAAAAAATATTATACGTAAAGTACATGGACGTAAATTTGTTTATCAATTTATAGGATTAAAAAATTTAATTAAATTTTGTTGTACATCAATGAATTCAACACCAATAACAACATCAATGACAACATCAATAATAACACCAACAATAATGACTTCAACATTACAACAAACATTGACACCATTGAATAATTTACCAATACATTCAAAAATCGATAATATTGATTTACCAGTAACATCTTCATTATATCATACTACTGATAGATTAAATGAATTATATAATCATAATCAAAAACAACATCAAGATTGGTTTTATATACCTTCTCATAATACTAAATTTTATGAAAATCAATATGATTGTAAACATACTACTACTAGTAATACTACTGATAATATTTTAAATACTATTACGAATATGAATAACTGTACTTTAACATCTACACAAACTGACAAAGCTCCAGATTTGAACTGTTCAACTAATAACTTAATACATTTTCCTAATAATTTGGATATAACAACAATTACAACATTTATCAATTCATATTTGAATAAGAACAACTACGAAACGAATACCATTACAAATAATAATAATGATCATGATAATAATAACAATAATAATAATAATGACAATAATATCCTGCTAAATCATGTTGGTGAATCAACAACAACATTGTCTGATCCAAGTCAGATTAAAGCTTCACATGAGATTAACGACTTAAGTGATTTTATTTCTTCTTGGGTATCTATGATGTCACAAAGTAATTATCTCAATAACTTTCGGTTAATGGAATGTTTCAAGCAATCCGGTAGTTTATTAAACCTGTTTAATTGCCATAATATTGAACAATTCAATGTTGATCAAGAAAAACAAATAAATTCTAATGATACATGTTGTCGAATAAGACAAAATAATTCAATGTTAAATAAAGAGAAAATTATTACCAATATTACTGATAATAATCAATTTATGAATAATCAAAATATTGATAATTGTCCAGTGAATTTACACGCTAATTATCATCCAGACTTGATGAATAATTATGATTCAGAATTATGGAAAGTTGAAGATTTTACACAGTATGATAAAGATAATCCAATGAATTTTACTGCTACAAATTTAAAAACATCTGAAAAATTACAATTTAAACAATATTGTAATCAAGATAACAGACCTCGATCACCGTGTTGTGAATGTAGTTGTCATTCACAATTCATATATGAATCTAATCATCCTCTAATGCATAGTATACAACACCAAATTAATTCATCTCATTTAATAGACAATAATAATATCATAGAAAAATTAAGAGATTATTCAACTAAACAATCAATAATTGAAAATTCTGATGAACTACCAACCAAGTTACATAATAAACGTCATTCAATTAATATGAAACGTTTAAGTGAACAATTAACACGTTTAAATCATTTAAATTCAACAGGAAATTATTCAAATAATAATTTAATGTTTATAAACAAATATTCTTCAATAAATAATAATAATTTAACAAAATCGAATCTTATGAAAGATGAACAAATTGCTAATCATAATGAAGATATGAATAGGAATGATTATTTTTCTGCTGGTGAATGTAAGATACCACTGACAAAAAATATAATGTTATCTGATTCGAAAATGGTGTCGAATTTAAATTCTTCAACAGTAAACACCACTTATAACAGTAGTAGAACTGATAACACGAATATGTCATCTTTACCGACGTTATCTATGTCAGAGAATAAATGTGTATGGATGCCCGTACCTGTGACTATGCTAAATTCATGGTTTAATTTACTATCAAACATAAAAGGTCTTAATAACAATTCGATAAATCAATCGAATTTTATGACATCATCCTCCTTCTCCACTTCCTCCTCATCAACATCATCATCAATATCGTCAGCATCCTTATCATCAACAATGAATAACAATTAGACTGTTGTAAATTTCTAAAAGTTTAATAATTATTGCATGAAATACATACTATCATTTACATTTCACTTTAGATGATCGTCAAATTTATATACATCCTCGTTGGCTTATAATAATTATTCTAAATACCTTTTGTTATCATAAGTGATATGTGTAAACATTCCACATATGAAAAATAGTTATATAATCATACCTGTGTTATGTATGATCGATTGTACATTAATTTAATTACACTAAGAAAAATTCACTAACTAAAATAAACTGACCTCAAAATCTTGAAAAGACAAAATCTAACAACCAATGCATTTGTTTATTTCATTATCTTTTTTTTCTTCTAGTTTTAGTGAAAGAAAAACAGTAAAACAACGTTATTATTTCAGTTTATTTTGTTTAGCCTATAATTTTCTTGCTATTCTAAATGAATATACATTCTTACGAGTGATATTTACAGTTTGTTTTTCTTTTACCATCCCAGATTCATCTTGATGTGATAATATACTTATATTATTTGTGATATAGCTCAATTATCATCTAATGATATCATAGAGTTACTTCTTTATTCTATATATTATTAAACTCATGAGTGATCTATGGTTTAAAAGCTTTTCATTTAAATCAATAGAACGTTGGATAAAGCCAAACCATACTGCTTAGCCAATGGTGAACGCTTAAAGCACTCGTAGGTCACACGTTAGTTTTTTTTATATCACGGATCGACATTAGTCATAATGTAAGAATCTTAAAGTGGATATTCTAAGCCCTAATCCTAGCATAATAAATTAATCATTTATCTCTGCTGTCTCCTGATTGGCAAAAATGGGCAACGATCTCAGGGTTACTCTGGTTTTAATTAATGTCGATGATTAGATGAATGGAATGGCATAATCATTGAGTGATGACAGCTCACGAAATCAAATTATGGGTGTAAGTCATTGTTGTGTTTGTATGAACTAATGATTCCTAGGACCAATCCACAAGGTCACTAGTGCTGCTCTGAGTCATGTTGGCAGATGTACATTACATGCTTGCGATCCACACGATAAACAAGATAAGTGGTTAGAGAATTTGGGTGACACGGTTCATAGTGGAGATGCATTAACTTCTTACCTTTCTCCAGATCTTGAGATCGAATATTTACACATAAATACCGTTGAGCCTTGTCTTTTTGTACTCTAAATGATCGCTTCCTATCATTATCACCACTACCATTATTATTTCGACTCATTTTCTACTTATCTGGTTAAGTACATTTCGATGTGTTGATTTGGTATGGGAACTTGGGTTAACCATCATATGTCCCGAACATCATGTTAATTATGACTATCTATTATACTGATTTGATTACTTCTACTGTTACTTTTATTTAATGGGATTGACTAATCAATTACAGGTTTGCACATTCCGTTTCGAAACTCATTTTGTTAAAACCGGCGATGCTAAATGACACTCCAGAGTACGATAGAGTTCAAAACTGTAGTTGAACGGTTCGTGATCCACGTGTTATGTATGTTCGACCACCACCTACTTTTACAGATGCTGTTGTAGTAGTTTGGAAAAGCGCTGGTGGGACCTAAACCAAAATATAACATCAGTCCGTGAATTCACTAATTGCTAGTCTGCGTCCTGTTAGAAAGTTCAGACTACCCGGTTAGGGTTTTTAGCGTTATCACCACTAATAGAATTATCTCGACTTTTGTTATTCATCTTGTTAGTTTCACTTCGTTGTGATGATGTGGTATAGAGATTTGGGATAACGCACATTTGTCAGGTTCAATGCTGACAATGACTGGTTGGTAGTATTGTTCTCTATAATAATCAGCGTTCAATGCAAACTATGTACTTGCTTAATAATTTACATTTACGTAAACCATTTATTTAAGGTATTAACTTCACTACGCACTACGACGCTGAACAACGTAGTATATAATAGACAAAAAGTGAGTTAAACATAATCAGTAAGAAATAAGGCCTTTAAAAAAAAATTCATAAAAGACCCACATAAAAACAAAATATTATGACGACTTTCAAACTATAAAATCTTCAATCTCTCACAGTATCTCAAAACAATGATTTGAGTCATAGAAGCCGAATAAACAACCTTAAATATAAAATACACAAGTTTTAGCAAAGTCGGGAAATGGGTGGTAGCGGAATACAGGACACGCGCTTCGTTTGATTTGAGGATCGTCGGCTAGATGTACCCACATTCTAGCGTTGATGCTTAAGCTGGGACTCGAGTCCAGTACTATTAGACCTAGACATCCATTGCGTGAGTTATCTACCAAGTTTAGATAGATGCGCTTGTGCAACGGGTATGAATCCTATTTCGTTTTACGTGTATTTTTCTATTTATTTTTGGGGTTACATACAAAGCATAATGCTGCACAGTATGCTTCTACGAATATTAAGTGGCACAGATTGATAAATATAAACGAGTCTGTTGTTAAAACGAATTTATAGGGTAATCAAGTGACTTTACTTTTTGTGTAGGTTTGGGTACTAGCTTATGAGTCGCGTTTATGTTAGGTCTAATAACACAGCTTCTTAAACCCTGTCAGGTGGAAAAGGTTTAAAGCGTGTGACATGGAGGCTGTCATTAGTTTTGATTTGTATAGTGCTATCTTGTTAGTATAAAATTGAAAACAAGTAAAAAGAAAAGAATGTGGACTGATTATATATCTAAAAAAATGGAAGTGATATACATCACAGTAGTTTCTAAAGTTTATTATGTTATCTACTAATTCAACGGTACACCAGTTGCTTTAGATAACTCCTCCAGAGATTTTTGGGCCTGTAGAGCACGCAATTCATTGTACTCTTTCAATCTTTTTTCTATAATTGCACGGTCACGTTCGGATATCTTCTTTTCCCTTCTAGTAAGATATTTTAGACGCAGAGCACCATAAACAATCCCAGCAGCTAACAATCCCCAACGCGCTGTTCGTATGAGTGGTGATACTTCACGTGGAGCGGGGAGTTTAGTTACATACACGGAGTCTTCCATCTAAAAAAGTAGACTGAGAATTTAGTATTCAGTTCAAAGAGGAAGCAAAAAGCAGGTCAACGAAACTTTGGAACAAAATTTGGTGTAAATACAAACTCATAGCTTTTATTCCATATATAAAACAATATGAAAATCATATAATACCAAACTCAGTTGAAAACGCTTAATCCAATTGCATGATAACGGAATGTCTGGTAACAAACCGAAGTGAAATTTAGGCAGATTATGTAACTTGCCTTACAATTTTACTCAACGGCAATTAGTCTTTTAGTGTTAAGACTATTGATGCAGTTGACATCTTAAGAAAGCCTACAGCAAGTCTATATAGACTAGTGTTGAATTCTAAAACGAATCCCCTAGACAATTCAATGTTTACTTCTGGACTCCACAAACCGAGTTACGTGCTTGAGTAAAAAACAAACTGTAGCACATAAATACTGGTACAATAGGGTGCCTCGAAAAATGCACCACACAAATGAAGCAATAAAAGACGAATCGCACAGACAACTAAACGAACAAGAGTATAACGATAAGCATTGCTGGTTGGTTGAGAGGCAGATATATTGCAGTTTCTGTCTAAGGGTTTCTGAATATTTCGTCTAGTTATGTATATATATAAGACTATTATATATAAGGCATGGTATTGGATAAAGTCCCCAATCACTCTGATTTTATAAACAATATTTATTTGCATACGGACATAAATGACAGTTATTAAAACATAGTTCTTTGTGTAGTGACAGAGTCAACGTGTGAGACAACACTTCACGTAAATAACGTACAACGTGATCCTTAACAATCACTTGTGGGGCTACTCGTTACATTTATCAGCGGAATAATCTTAGACAACCCAGGTTATCTGGTCGATGACTTCGTAATAGAATACAAAGAACGTCGGAAACTACTAGTGGCTTATCGCAAACTATCTTGATGCATTCCATGTAAATGGAGCTGGCATATATTTTACTGAATAAATTAGTGTTCGATGGTAGGTTTCATTACTATATTCAAATGTTCTCCTAGATTGCGTATACAGATCTACACCGTTAGAATTTACTACGTAATCTTCACTTCTAACTTCAGAAAACTTTTCAAAATCTTGTTTTTTGGTTGCTTTATAATATAAGCATTTAACGAAACGTTTCGTTGACAAACAACGCAAATCCATATGCGATCTCAGGTCTACTTCCTTACTCACTATAAGAATGGACTGTTGGATGATGACATCATCACGTATTGAAGTCAGAATACGATAAGTAATAGTGAAGACAAATTACACCTAAAAAAAATACTAGAGTAGATTGTGTGGGTTATTCAATTACTAGTGACTGATGTGTTGGCGTCTGACGGAAATTCAGCACGAATCCAGAGAGCTCAATTGGCTTTTACAAACTTGGATCATTTGTGACGTAGGTAAGACACCCATTTGTCGGCTAAAGGACAGGTGCACTGCCCAGTTCTCTTCGTTTCACTTTATGACTGTGAAACCTGGACGCTATAATTTAGGGAGATTTTTGGTTTGTTAAGAATCGATTATAGGTGACTTCAGAGCACCGCTTGCATATTTTAGGACCATCCAGTTACCGATTTTGTGGTTAAACACAGTAAAGATGGTCGATCGACCGATGATGTGAAGTTTTATCGGCTGAGACGGTCAGGACATACACTACGTATGCCCACCCGCCAACTACATCGATGGGCGACAGACTAGAGTAGGTTGGAAAAAAGCTAAGGACAGCCAACTCAAGAGATGGCATCAGTCCATGAAGACACTGAATATTGGATTAAACCATATAGGTAGAGAGGTGCAGGCTACCTGGTTCGGGTCCACCTGGTCATCATAACAAATGGTCAGAGACTAGGTGGAATCCACTCAGCATCGTCCTCAATGACTTAGGTCCATTCACTCTCTGTCCTCGATTCGATCCTATATTTCTAAATTCCTCGTAAACCTTTTATTTTACTAATTCGTATCTTCTCAAATAGTGTTTGCGATGCTTAATTTTTCTACTACCAGTAGTACTGTTACTGTCTTTACGACTGTAAGATTTGCGTTAGAGTATACATCTAGCAGAGTTAGTGGGGTGTGACAAATTGAACACATGCCCACAAGTACTGCGTTTGCCTAACTGAGTAACCAAAAATTAATACTGATAAGAGCAATAAAATGAGGACCGACCAAGATATTAAGATTATTCCTCAACCAGTCAGGGGACTAATCAATCTGCAAACATACTAGAAATACTTTAAATTTATGACTTTAACCGCCACGAGATACTAAGTTGCAATTACGGTTACTTCCCCACAAGGATTTCACATCAAAGGTTAGGGTATGTAGAAGTTACAGGCTTCACTGACCATATACCTTATTTGGGATGCTGGCTTAGAAACATACTCCGAACACATATGTTCGGAGTGTAAGATATAAGAACACATTCGATTGGCATACATCATTAGTTAGTAGTATCTCTATGCTCTTCTCCAGAGGAAAAATGCACATTGTTGATATTAGGACAAGAGAATACATCACATGCAGTGCATTCTTTAGGGGAAAACTACCAAAATAGGGAATTGGGCGGTTTTAGAGTGAAGCATAGATATGGCTTATTTCACAATTTGCAACCCACGTATACAACTGTCTGGTTAAGAATGAGTGTGAGAAAAGTTTTGTTTGTTTTAAAACATAGACTTCCTAAGTAACATGACCATAACTTGAGTTTCTCTGTATTTAACTTGGAAACACATGTCCTCCCCATTGGTATTTTAGTGATCGTTTCAAACGACCAGTCAATGAGAACAATAAAGGTTGGTGTGTTATTAATTATATTCATTTGCTAACTTGATTCCAATGTTGTCGAACAGATTATGAAGCTAGTGCTACATCTACATAATTACTGAATATTCATTGTAAATAAGTCAGAGAGACTTTAAAAAAATCGACTTCAGTCTACTTCCTACAAACTGGCTTAGAGTTTAGCAGAACTGGAGACAGACTATTTTCTAAATACTGGACTGCTGACCTTGGCGCGTTCAAGTTTCGAAGCAGGCGGCCCTTATAATAGTTCACAAAAATCTAAGCAGGTACATATGGTATCTACATCAGAAGTAGTGAGACGCTTGACATTTAGTATAAAGTTGAAGATTTTTGTAAATTCTAATTGAAGAAAACAAAATGTCACTCAAAATAGCGATGTCCATGGTTCAGTTGGACAGTTATATCGAGTGTAGCCGTAAATAAATTCCCAAAATCAATAACTGTAAATTTTCTATATTTGATGCTGGCCACATTATTTTTAAATCAGCCTAGAGCCCCTATGGGGCTACTGCCGGTCCCAAGCCCGGATAAAGGAGGAGGGTTGGGCATGGGGTTAGCGACCCAACTTCGTAGAAAACTAACTCGCTGAAAAAACATCGCTAACCGTAAAAAATAATTCAACACATTTGTAGTCTGCTCTGGGAGCTAGAAATCCTTCATTTAGAAGAGTTATTACGCCTCATGGTGAAAGTCAGGTTCCTTCGGAAGTCACGAGGCTGATGCACCTTCTGACAACCAGAGTAACCATTAATTCAGATACATGGAATGCTCGTACAGTGTAGGAAACCGAGAGAGTCTTCCAAATTGCTGCAGAAATGAGGAGATGCAACCTGGAGGTGCTTGGAATCAGTGAAGCACATTGGACGCAGGTTGAACAACAACGACTAACTTCAGGAGAGCTTCTGTTATACTCCGGCTATGAAGAAGAAAGTGCCCCACATACACAAGTTGCATTAGTGCTGTCTAAACAAACACTAAATGCACTTATATGATGGGAGTTTCATGAACCGAGGATCATCAAAGCCTCCTTCAAAACAAAGAAAGATGGCATTTCAATGAACGTCATCCAAAGCTATGGGCCTACCAATGACTACAATGAAGACGTTAAAAATCAATTCTATGATAGGCTACAGTCAACCGTCGAGAAGTGCGCAACAAAGGACTTGACCATTCTTAAATTCCAAGAATGGAATGGACAACACGGGATGTGAAGACATCTTGAGATCACATGGACCGGTAGAAAGGAACGAAAATGATGAGAGATTCACAAACCTATGTGTCTTTAATGAACTGGTCATAGGTGGCTCTATATCCCTACAAAAACGCATACACGAAGTCACACGAACTTCACCGTATCACACTACACAGAAACAAATCGGCTATATCTGCATCAATAAAAAATAAGGAGGACAATGGAAGACATGAGAACCAAGAGGAGAGCTGATATAACATCAGATCATCACTTGCTGGTCGCCAAGATGCAATTGAAATTTAAGAAGCACTGGAAAACGGACCACACAGCACCACAAACGTTTGATTAGGCTTTTCTTCGAGAAACTGACAAACTCAACGAATTCAAGATCGTCCTCATCAATGGATTCCAGACCTTTCGTGATCCACTCAATGGAGAAGGGACTACTATGGAGAGCAACAAGAAAGCGATGAAAGAAGCAATAACTTCTATATGTCGCGAGGTTCTGTGCCACAAGAAGCACAATCACAAGAAATGGATCACTGTTGATACACTGGAAAAGACTCAAGAAAGGAGGAACAGGAAAGCAGCAATCAATACCAAACGAATAAGAGCAGAGAAGGCCAAGGCACAAGCTGGATACACAGAAGTAAACAAGCAAATGAAGAGGAGGATCAGAGCCGACGAACGTAAAAATGTGAAGAGATGAACACGAATATCAGGCAAATCAAAAGGGGCAAAGCAGCGGGACCAGACAAAATTCCAGCAGAGGCACTGAAAGCAGACGTATCAGTAACTACAAAGACACTCCACATTCTCTGCAGCAAGATTTGGACAAAGGACTAGTACCAACAGACTGGATTCATCACTTTACATCAACTTCATTAACTACTAAAAAGTATTTGATAGCGTGGACAGAACAACACTATGGCGTGCCTCAAAAGATAGCCAATATCATATGGAATTCCTATGATGGACTAAACTGCAAAACCGTGCATGACGGATAACTTACAGACTCGTGCAAAGTAAAAACAAGATTGCTTGCTCTCACCGTTTCTTTTTCTCCTGGTGATCGACTGGATCATGAAGACATCAACATCTGAAGGGAAACACGGGATACAATAAACATCTAGGATGCAGTTGGACGATCTGGACTTCGCAGATGATCTGACCCTTCTATCGCAAACGCAACAATAAATGCAGGAGAACAAGACCAGTATAGCAACAGTAGGTCTCAGCATACACAAAGGGAAAAGTAAGATTCTCCGACACAACACAGCATGCAACAATCGAATCACATTTGACGGAGAAGATTTGGAAGATGTGAAAACCTCTACATATCTGGGAAGCATCAATGATGAACACGGTGGATCTGATGCAGATATAAAGGCGCGAATCGACAAAGCAAGAGCAGTATATTTACAACTGAAGAACATCTGGAACTGAAAACAATTATCAACCAACACCAAAATCAGGATTTTCAATACAAATGTCAAGAGAATTCTACTATATGAAGCGGAAACCTGGAAAACTACGAAAGCCATAATCCAGAAGATACAAGCATTTATCAACAGTTGTATGCGCAAAATATTTCGGATAAATTGGCCATACAATATCAGCAACAACTTATTGTGGGAGAGAGCAAACCAGATCCCAGAGGAGGAAGAAACCAGGAAGAAGCACTGGAATTGGATAGGACACACATTGAGAAAAGCACCAAATTGAGTCACGAGGCAAGTCCGCATATGGAATCCTCAAGGCCAAAATGAAAGAGGAAGATCAAAGGACACATTACGTCGAGAAATGAAGACAGAGATGAGAAGAATGAACGAAAATTGGGTAGAACTGGAAAGGAAAGTCCACGACAAGGTGTTGGAGAATTCTGGTTGGCGGCCTATGCTATATTGGGAGTAACAGGCCTAAGTAAGTAAGTAACATTAGTTTTAATGGACTCACCTAGCTGAAGGCGCTTGGTCACGCATCCAAAGTAGATCATGAGCGAGAACGCCGTGCTCAATTTCTCCCGTAATCGCTAGCCACTTTAGATCAGTCACTCCTCGATGTACTGATAACCTATCAAATGTATCTTCGAACCTCCTCACTTCTGATTTTTGATTCTACTGGGTGGGCACGGTTCAATCATGGAAGGCGTTACTAAGTTAAGTACTGTCAAACTACAAATACCTACGGCATCTTCGATGGTAAGCCGACGTTATCTCGTACGCCAACTCGTGAACTATGAGTTTGTTCCTTGTTGGAAGTTTATATCTCAATTTTTCACTTTAATTTTTATGTATTGCGACTTTTTTGTATTTGTGGACTTTTCGTTTGTTGCTATACTTTGTATTCGTCATGACCGAACAGACTCCTTAATTATATAGGATCAAGACTCTTACGCCAATCTTATTTCAGCCAATGCCATTTTGGCCTAACAATATTGAAGTCTAGTTCTGCTACGAAGAAGCTGACTTCGATAAGCACGGAGTGACTGATCCATAAGCACAGTTCCTCGCAGTGGTAAAGGCACTACGGCTCGAATTCAACAGATACGTCACACCTAGTATGTTTACTAGTGATGTTTCGGAACCTTACAAAACTCTTAAAAGGTCAATTCTTAGACGCAGAGATCTAAGTGATCAATACAGGTTAGATCAACTTCTCATTAATATCGATCTACAACATGGCTCAGCAACAGACATACTATTACGAACAAGAGAGGTTATTTGTCAAAGGACTTTCGGTGATGGCCTGTCTAGACAATTTTTCTTGTCTAAACGTCCTCAATAGGTGCAGACGGTGCTTGTCTCGTTTCAAAACAACGCCGTAGACGAGCTGGCCGAATCTACCGACCGTATTAAAGAGATCAACAAAACGTCGAACGCCGAGGAATTTCAGCCAAACGAAAAGCCTAAAACGACATGAAATGACGATACGGAACTCTTATATACTCTGACACGTTACCTTCATATCCACTATGATCGAAAATTATATTTCTCTAGATCATGAGAGACAGATAGCACTGATTGGTGCTGGTAGCATAATCAGTACGGAAAATCTCGAAATTGCAGAAAACACTTCGATTTTCCGGACTCCAAACCGATTAACATGAAAAACGTTTCGGGGAACATTCCAGCTGACACACGTTAACGACAATAGTGGCCGACGAACATAGCCACTTGTTATGTGTCACTGATGTGATTATGAAAGTCCGCTACCCCGTCGACTCTAGTGCAGAAGTTGGCTTTCTTCTAGAGAATTCTAACGATGGACTTCACGAACCGGGTTTAAACTTACGGGCGGCAGACGACAAACCGACCGCCGCATATGGTAAACGGCATATCTATCTTGACGTGAGTTGACTCAAAACCATCCACTGGTTTTTCGTTTTGGTAGATGTTTCTATGCTAATCATCATAGACCTGCTACAACATAATTTACTCATCGACACGTGCAAATGGAGTTCAGTGGACGGAAATATTAATTTCTCTCTTTGCGCAACTTCTTTATCCTGTTGCAGATTATCCCCGGTCACAGTAAGAGGCACGACCGATCCATACTTCCAAAGATATTCGATAAGTTACCTGAGATACATCAAACTCAATCGAAATCGCCATGTGCTACCAGCAATGTTACATATCACCTCACGACTACAAGACCACTTGTGTTTTCGAAAGCGCGCTGACTGGCTCTCGAAAAGCTGAGGTTGATCAAAAACTAGTTCAACCACATGATGAATTTAGGGACCATTCATCCGCGAAATAGCACATGGGCATCTCCCTTGCATATGGTCCCTAAAAAGGACAGCAACGATTGACGTCTAACCGGTGACAATCGGCTATTGAATGCAAAAACCATTTCAAACCGTTGACAGCTACCTTGAAAGGTACAACTGTCTTTTCGAAAATCGACTTGGTGAAAGCTACTGACGATACACTGAAAACCGCTATCATAACCCCTTTCGATCTTTACGAATTTTTGAACATTAAACTCGGCCTAAGAAGTGCTTCCAAGACATTACAAATGTTTAAAGATGACGTTTTTCGAGGTCTCAACTTCGTAACTACGTATGTTGATGACTACCTAATAGCAAGTTCGGACAGCGAATCCCATTCTTAGCACCTGCACCTTGTTTTCGAAGGATTAAAAATGCACGTCATTACTGTAAACATTCTGAAATGCCAAATCGGAACTGAATTTCTAGATTTGCTCTGATACATTATTGATGCTTAAGACATCCAATCTCGGAAAAGCAAAGAGGTGGACATTCTAGATTACCCAGAACCGACCACGATCAAGAAATTAAGCACGTTAAACGGCTTAGTAAGTTTCTATAGACGATTCATGCAAAACTGCGTGTCCTTTATGAAACCTCGAACCGACGAACTTTGTGGAAATGCAAAATCCATCAAGTTGGACGATACTGCACGAAATGCATTTTTCACAATTAAGGGACTATTCTCAAGAGCGACTATGCTTGCACACCAGGACACCGAAGCACCCATCAATATCCCAGTGGACGCATCCAAATCGGCAATCGGAGAAATCTTGTAACAATGGGCTAACCACTCCTGGTAACCTTTGGCAGTTTTCTCAAGACGGTTGCTAGACACTGAATTGAGGTATGACACTTTCGGTAGGGAACTCCTAGCCATGTATTGTGCTGTACGGCACTTTCGACACTCTATTAAAGCAATTAGTCCCTTTGATAAATTTCGATAATGCAATGAGAAGACGTAGTTTATCAGAATTATGTGATATATTTGCGCAATACATTTCAAACAATCTGATCACACATATACTTGTTAAGAACATTTGTATATGAAAAATTAAAAGGTCAACTAGACAGGTTAAGGGTAAGTCATAACAAAGGAAAAACATTAAAGTACACAAAAACAAATGTGATTACCACTCTGGATAGTAAATCAGTACTACCAGGGTAGGTTAAGTGTAAGTACAAATTGTTTTTGAACACATAAAGCCTTCAAGGACGTATACTAAGGTTTATTGAAGCCTTGGCTATACGGAAATTGAAACCCCCTTTATGTGTTCAAAAACAATTTGTATTTACACTTAACCTACCTTGGTAGTACTGATTTACTATCCAGAGTGGTAATCACATTTGTTTTTGTGTACTTTATTGTTTTTCCTTTGTTATGACTTACCCTTAACCTGTCTAGTTGACCTTTTAATTTTTCATATACAAATGTTCTTAACAAGTATATGTGTGATCAGATTGTTTGAAATGTATTGCGCAAATATATCACATAATTCTGATAAACTACGTCTTCTCATTGCATTATCGAAACTCTATTAAAGGCCGAGAATTCACTCTTTTCAGCGACCACAAACCTCTCACTTTCCGTTTAAGCTCATCTTCAGACAAGTAATCTCCTCGTGGGTCTCGACGTTTGGACTATATTCCCCAGTTTACTACAGATATACAACACATGTGTGTGACAAACAATGTAGTTGCAGACGCATTGTTTCGTATAACTTCCTTGAACATTTTTCAAATAATCAATCTTCCTAAACTCATCCAGCTTCAAAAAGAAGACATAGATCTTCAGCATTTAGTGGCCCGTGGATCTGACTCCTTTTTAGATCGTACGAATGATTGTTATCGCCTATTCTCGTAAATAATCGTCGACTTAATCGCGTTAGCCAATAACGGAATTAAATAAGTCGAATAACGAGAATTGATTTGTGGATACATATATTTTATATATGAAGCGAATGAAATGGAGCATAGCAAAATGACACGTAGGGAAGGTGGCTGAGAAGCCAACTACTTTTTAGTCAAGCGTTGCTCAATATTTATGGTCTGATAAAATAAAGCTACAGACATGTGGTTAATGGAATAAGAAGGGCACACACATATACGCTCATGTAAAAACAGTCTAGATTGATAAGCGAATAAATAACAAGGTCAAAGTATGGCTCATGTAGTATGAATAGAATGGGATGTCCGAAAGTTAGAATACAGTAAATGGGCTTAACATAGTAACTGACACTACAAGCACGTGTTATCCTCAACAACGTTTAAACTGCGATTAAACATATGGGAACAGGTAAGCTAACCTTATCAGTAGCACATCTACAGTTAGGGATCGTCCAATCGTTCCGAAACATTATCGACGCAACGTCTTCAATACGTTGCAAAAACTTTCTCATCCACATGTTCGTGCAACCATCAAGCTGGCCTGGTGTGAATAAAGACGTCTTGAAGTGGGCACATTCCTATATAAGCTGCCAGAAATCTACGGCGATTAGACATGGCAGTTTTCCTCTAGGCTCTTCCACAACTCTCGACGCTCGTCTCGACCTTGTTCATTTGGATTTGGCAGGACCCTCACTACATTTAAGTTGATAGTCTTACCATTTAAAATATGTAGCCCGTTTTCCACGATGGCCAAGATTAGCACCCATCAGGGACATTACTGATGTAACGGTGGCCTGCATCTTCGTCGAATGATGGATGGCAAACTTTGGCTGCTCTCGAACTATCACTACAGGCCGTGAAAACCAGTATGAACCTGGACTTTTCCGTTGTCCTACTACACTACTAGGAATCACACAAATCATAACAACAACCTATCACTCACAAACAAACGGGTTGGTAGAACACTTTCACCCACTGCTTAAAGCTTCCCTATCAGCTGCAAACGTTTCACAGTGGACCGACGGTCTTTAACTCGTCTTTGTGTTCGCAACATAGTGAAGGTTGACGTTGGATACATTTCAGCTCAAATCGTTTATGAAACGACAATCCGACTTCCAGAAGGATTCGTGGATCCTTCATCTTCAAGAAATATGGATCTAAACTTTTACACGAGCAGGCTTTCAAACGCAATGCGTTCAGTTAAACGAGTTTCCGTTCGACCGCAATCGACTGATGTTTTCGTCGAACCTGCTCTATGATATAGTACACGCGTCTTCGCGACTCATATCGAAAACAAGTAGTACGTTTTCTAATATGCTCATATATATGTGTATATCTTTTATTATATTTTCAGAAAAGTCCAAAAATTATTTTTACGCTTTTTCATGTGAACAAAACACATATATACCAATCTTTCTTCGTTTTTCGCCCGTTGTGTGTTTTTACGTACGTACAAGTGTATTTTGACATTCACACGCAATTTCTTTTTATCTAGGACGGGTAGAAAAGATGGAATACAGACGAAGGTTACGATGAAAAGAATCTTTCATCGTACATTTCCTTGTTTATGGCTATATTATACAATATAGCCCCTTGTGTTGGGGAAATACAACCAGATGATTCCGAACATAACAAGCCATCAGAGGAGTGTCTACCAACGACAAGCTCTCAGTTTTAAACTTCTGGTTATCCATATTTTGGGGTCATCACTACCCCACTAGGGAAGTGAACTGAAGTGGTTAATAAGTCATAGAAATGAATAGTGCTGTAGGTAATTGAAACTGATGCTGGCCCTGTTAATTTTACTGAACACATCTAGCTGAAGGCGCTCGGTCACGCATGCGCACCAGATCACGTGTGAGTATGCTGTGCGGCGCATTCCTTTCAGCTGTGAACCACTTTAGGCCAAAAGTTCCTCTACATCCGATAGCCCTACAAGGTGTTTCACGTTGTTGGCTTATAGCTGTCTTCTGTGTGCCCAGGAACGCACCGTTGCTGCTCCTTATTTCCTAGGAACCGAAGTTGTATGTTTCTTAATTCATCCTTTCAAGCACCATCTCAATACTTGACACCATTCTCCATCAGCACAGTGAAACATCATCGACGATTATTATCTTTTGTGGAAACTGTTCCTAGCATCGAACAAAAATAATATTCAAAATTATCACCCAAAAGCACTATGATTTGTAAACTCAAACAAGTGGGCAGTTGCATTGAAAATCTTACTGGGAGTTCGATGGACATAAACGAGAAGACTTAACCATACATAAAAGCTTTAGTCTTCCTATATTCCTAAGAGACTAAAACATGAATGATAATTATCGGTAACCAATCATCTAATGCGACTACAAATGGGATTCCAAGAAAACTACAGATTAGTATTTTTACACACCGATATTTAAGGTTTAAATCATTAAGTTGTTATAACCCATCGTATGTTTGTGGCCTTAGTGCTACAGAGCTGCAAAATTTCAAAACTTGGTTTTGTAACATTAGCAACACGCTGTGGTTGAGACGACCTTTGCTTTTAAATTATTGGTTAATTGGTCGATTAAATCAATACATTTAATTGGAACGTTACAGTTTGTTGGAGGTCAACTTAGTCGCGAATCTGTACGCATCTCATAGGGAGGGGGTTGACCCTAAAGACAATTCCAGCCAACTGCACATTACAGTTTATTTATCCCCTGGACTAAACTTGTTACCTGTTTATGTCGTGTTCACAGATTGCTGTAGAGTGCACTAGAGAACGATTTAGACTTGTATATCCCCATCCTAACGTTTTTTATCAATACAGGGTAAGTTTGTAGTCTGTGTAATTTGTGTGACTTCCCTTTATTGTGTTTGGCCTTTTGGTATGAAGTGGTTTTGATATCATTTGCTTATTACTTGAATGGGTCATTCTAACCTCTACATATGTAGAGGTTAGAATGACCCATGAACTATAGTTCATGTTTCTGACTCTTTCCATGCTTTACATTAGGAGTTAACTACGTAACCCTTTAAGATCGACGTAACCAATCTTGTCAGCTGACTAGATAGTCTGTCAATAGGCAGTTTCAAACAAAAAATAAACGGGGTGTTTCAGCCGTTGGTCACTCAGGTAGATGAATGAATTCCCACTTTGATCTAATTCGACCGCGGTTATCGAACCTTTTTGTGATTGCCTCGGTGATGACTAGTCGTAGGGAAGTTGGGGGGAAAGACGAGATGTGTTTACAACCAAATCATCATTTAGACTATACAGTGCTTATGTGTCATCTTACGTAGCACTATAAGAGGACGAGATATGAGTGTGGACCGCTCATCATGGAATTAATTGGAAACCCCGTCACTAACTTACTTACTTACGCCTGTTACTCCTCGTGAAGGAGCACGGGCCGCTCACCAGCATTCTCCATCTAACCCTGTCCTGGGCAATCCTTTCCAGCTCCTTCCAGTTGTTATTCATCCTTTTCATATCTGCTGCTATTATCTGACGTAATGTGTTCTTTGGCCTTCCTCTTTTCCGCTCCCCTTCAGGATTCCAAGTTAGGGCTTGTCTCGTGATACAGTTTGATGATTTGCGTAATGTATGTCCTATCCATTTCCATCGTCTTTTCCTAATTACCTCTTCAGCTAGAAGCTGGTTTGTTCTTTCCCACAGAAGATTGTTGCTGATGGTATCCGGCCAATGGATTTCGAGTATCTTGCGTAGACAACTATTTACAAATACTTGTACCTTCTTGATGATGCTTGTTGTAGTTCTCCAAGTTTCAGCTCCGTACAGTAGAACTGCTTTGATGTTCGTATTGAAGATTCTCACTTTGATATTGGTTGAAAGTTGTTTTGAGTTCCATATTTTCTTCAATTGTAGGAATGCTGTCCTTGCTTTGCCAATCCTCGCCTTTACGTCTGCATCTGAACCTCCTTGTTCATCGATGATGCTTCCCAGGTATGTGAAGGATTCTACATCTTCCAGAGTTTCGCCATCAAGAGTGGTATGATTGTTGTTCTCCGCTTTGAATTTGAGGACCTTGGTTTTCCCTTTATGTATGCTGAGGCCTAGTGATGCAGAGACTGCTGCTACACTGGCTGTCTTTATCTGCATTTGTTCACGTGTATGCGATAGGAGAGCTAGGTCATCTGCGAAGTCAAAATCGTCCAATTGATTCTAAGCTGTCCATTGTATTCCGTGTTTTTTCTCAAATGTCGAGGTCTTCATAATCCAGTCGACCGCCAAAAGAAAGAGGAAGGGAGAGAGTAACCAGCCTTGTCTGACTCCGGTCCTTACTTGGAATGCATCTGTAAGCTTTCCTCCATGCACGACTTTGCATTGTAGTCCGTCATATGAGTTCCAGATAATATTGACAATCTTCTCAGGAACTCCGTAGTGTCGAAGAAGTTTCCATAACGTCCTCCTATCTACACTTTCAAATGCCTTTTCATAATCAATGAAGTTGATGTATAGTGACGAGTTCCACTCAACTGATTGTTCGACGATGATCCGTATTGTTGCAATTTGGTCTGTTCACGATTGATCCTTACGGAATCCAGCTTGTTGATCTCGAAGTTGGGCGTCTACTGCATCTTTCATCCGGTTCAGCAACACTCTGTTAAAGACCTTCCCTGGTATTGACAGTAATGTAATGCCTCTGTAGTTTTCACATTTGCTCAGGTCTCCTTTCTTTGGAATCTTGACGAGGTGTCCTTCTTTTCAGTCCATCAGCACTTGTTCCTCCTCCCAAATCTTTTTGAATAGAAGGTAAAGCATGTTTGTAGTTACTTCGATGTCTGACTTCAGTGCTTCAGCTGATATGTTGTCGGGTCCCGCTGCTTTCCCGGTCTTGATTTGTCTGACGGCCATTCTGATTTCTTTCGTCGTTAGTGGGTTGACGTCTATGGGAAGATCTGTGTGTGCCGCTTCGATGTCCGGTGGATTCATTGGAGCCGGCCTATTCAGGAGTTCCTCGAAGTATTCTACCCATCTATTCCTCTGTTGTTGAATTTCAGTGATTGGCTTGCCTTCTTTGTCTTTGACCGGTCTCTCTGGTTTACTGTATTTCCCTGATAGTTTCTTAGTTGTATCGTAAAGCTGTTTCATATTTCCTTCTCTAGCAGCTTTTTCCGCCGTCTTCTTTCACGTGTTTCTTCTTGTTGGTTCTAATGCTCCTCTTCACTTGCTTGTTTGCTTCTGTGTATTCAGCTTGTCCTTGGACTTTCTCTGCTCGTGTTCGGTTGTTGTTAATTGCTGCCTTCTTGTTCTTCCTTTCTCTGATCTTGTCTAGAGTTTATATAAAGATCCACTCCTTATGATGGTGTTTCTTTAGGCCCAGAACCTCTTGACACGTTGAAATTAATGCTTCTTTGATGTCTTTCCAGTTGTCCTCAATAGTAGTTTCTTCTTCCTTCAGTAGATCTTGTAAGGCTTGGAACCTTACAAGATCACTAACTTAGTACCTACTTTTTTTAGACATTCTCAAGTGTCCGTCTATTTAGATACGGATTAGTTGCTTGGACAGGAAATTCAAAAAGAGGTCTTGCGCATTTGGGATACGGAAGCTGAAACATCCCTTCATCAAAGTATTAGGACGCTCTACACCTGGCCGTAACTCATAAAATCGGTGAGACTGTAATTTATGGATAACTTTTGAGTGGCGCCGGACTGTCCTTGAGAGTATCCACCTAATAACCGGGACCGAATTAAGGTTATAAACCTGTGTGGAGAACTAAAATTATGATATAAAGTCGGTGATTAAGGTTAGGGTTTTAATCACGAACTGACGTCAGCTAAAATGCCAAAACTCTATTCATCCGAATGAATGAGTGAATTCCGAGCCAAAACCCAAGACCTGTTATCTTATACGTGATTGGTTCGTCCATAAATTTTAGTATCGCTGTTTTGGAAATGGTATCCCGTCGGTAGTGCACTTATAGCTATTATTGTGTTCTACCTGGATTAATGCAGTTTAACCAAAACTTATTCCTAAGCAACTTCATTTAGACTAGCTGTTTTATTCATCTAGATCAGTTTGGAGCTCTAGCCTAGAGATGGTGCAACACTGGTTAGAGACGTTATTAGATACGGTTCAGGATAGAAGCCAGTGGAGGATCCTGCTGTAACTTCCTTTTAGTTTCTTCATAAAAATGAACGTAACTTCTTTAACTGAAAGAATTCTTTCTGGTTGTATTTTTGCTAGCTGAAATGCTTCCCTTTATTATTACTATTATTATTATTATTATTATTATTATTATTATTATTATTATTATTATTATTATTATTATTATTATTCTACTCTCATGCACTAATTTCTGCTCGTTGTTGTTGTCCTCTTTATTATGCGCACTTTATATCCCCTATCTCTTCACAATCTTATTGTTATTGTGTGGCGCATATGTATTTGGTCCTCCTTTGTACCAATATTTATGTATTCAAATAAATAAGTAAATAAAATTATTTAATCGTGATGCGAAATTCATAAACGATGGAACATCATTTATCATTAACATTTGTTAACTACAGTTATCGAACCAAAGAATTTCAGTACTTCTCACTCTCAACATCCTGATTACAAAAGCTGAATATCGTATTTTAATTCCCATAGAAGCTGAAGACGAGTATTGGTTAGTGAATGAGAGTTTCGAACAAAGCAAGTATATTCAGGTTTCATGTTTCAACTCTCAGTGACTTCATCCAATATTAATTTTTGAATTTCTTCAGTCTCCAAATACTTATTGATTGCATTAAGCTTAATCCATCACTTTTATTCTTTTTCTTGGATTTTAGTACATATGTTTTAGTCGAGGCAATGCATTTGCAATATATCGATGTATTTTTGCCTCCTTATTTGCAACTCTGCTCATCCTGGATTATGTATGGATAATTCTGCGTGATCCGAAATTTCCAGACTTTCTATCCTGGTGTTTGGATGCATCTCAGTGGGCTTTATTAGGCACAGCTGTATGTTATATAATACTGGCATGTAATGCGGTGTGCATATCTAGACGAAATGGGGAACCAAACAACGAAAGTAAGTATTACAAATCAATAAAGCTGAATTATGAGGGCGGTCCAATATATTAATGTGCAAACCAATTCAATGTCATAGAGAACATGTCTGACAAGAATGTTGTCTATCAAACGTAGACCATTAGTTCCATTGACAAAATCATCATTAAGTACTTTAGTTAAAGGTTAAGACTACAATCTAAGCTACGAGTCTCAAAGTTATGAACGAACTAATCAAATTTACAGTAGTACCTCTTGAATTTTTTTTATAAAATTCATTCATCCATTTGGCTGGAAAGCATTCTTATATTACAGTTCGTGATGAAAACCCTAAATTTAACTCTAAATTCTGATCCTAAACTCTAGTCATATAATTATAAATCACTCATATATGCTGTTTCTGATTGTCTGAACGGGTCAATATTTATCAAGGTCATTTTATGTTATTCGAGCTCACCCTGATAATTCAGCTTGACCATAAGATTTAGTCGAGTAAATTACGGGGATTAATTCTTTGATGTGAATATAGTTTTCGTCATGGATACCAATCCCAATAATGGTACCACTGGACATTTGTTTCGTACGATTTTGGGTTTCCTCAGCCAAAAGCCCAGATCCTTGGCTCCACTAGGATTTGGACTTGGACTCTTCGTTTCATTCAACATCATCACTTCTTTACCTTTCTGAGTTAACAAACAATAGTTCTCATTTCCAAATTAAGTTAATAAGACTGAAATTCTGAGCTATTTGGGATATTTACTTGCTCTTTCATTGTGGTGCTAGCCGAAGAGTATGTTCGTCTCACAGTCATGTATTCTGTTTATGTGATAGTAGAAAAGCTTGTCTTTGAGTCATTTAATACAGCGCGATTCAAGCTTTAACCTGATGGAGAAAGGTATCCTTTATTTTTAAACATCCTATTAACAGAAGACCTTAACTTCCCATTAAAGTTGAACATCGGATCATTTTAGTGAAATCCAACAATCTTCACAACTCTATGCTGGCAGTTATCACGTGCTCACTAGTGACAAGCTTGGAAAAGAAGTTTTTGACGTTCTGGCGTGCAGCTGTTATTAGTGGACTAAACAGTCGGGTGTAACAAAGGTACTCACCGAAGACAATAGATGGTGGTGCACCATCCTGAACCGGTTTGAATTTAGACTTGTACACTATTGGATTCCACCTTAATGGTCTAAAAGTTAGGTGTTCGCGTACGAGACTGTATATACTGAGTTCGTGGATGTGCACTGCTAAGGAGTCCCGTACTGGGACGAAACGGGTATCTAGTGCTTTCAGGTTTTTAATGGTTGTCTAACTTTGATCGGTTTGTGATTTCAGTGATATTTTTGTTCATTCGTTTTAAAGATCCTTAATACTGTTGGTAAATCATCTGTTTCCACGACTTTTTTTATCACATGTTCTTCATAAAGGTGATGACGGCTTCCTTATTAATTAAGTAATTGAGTTAGTCTTAGTATTTCGAAATATTTTCAAAACTAGACTACCCTGTGTGTGTACACGAAAAGTATTTGATTGTGTGGAGTATCGGGGGAACCGATGAACAATGTGTTAATCAAGAAATACCCGTGGAAAAATATTTTTTATTCTACTTTATTCAACGATTATCGTATTATTGTATCTAGTTGCCTTCGCTATTTGTATACCGTAATTCACGTATCATTTTATCTCATTAGAAATCAGAATCTTTTGTAGTCTAACAGCCTACACAACCTCTCCTGTACACTATTGAATACTTTGTGTTGTAAATCTGTATAATCGTCTCTGTACACCAATAGTCGAGGTTTTATTAGTGTAAGATATTAAATCAATTTAGTAAGGTCCCGACCGTAGCTGTTTATTCGACTTAATGGTCGGGCTTGCCTACTGTAATGGCTTAATCGAGCTATATTGGCTGAAGAATTCACTCATTGAAGTTCATCCCAGACAAGTTGGTTGGAGAAGTGTGAATCGAAGAGCAGAAAACTAATGGTCCATGGGCAAAGTCGTACTGAGGATTGTACAGAGGTGTGGCGGCAGTATTGTGTTCCCCTTAGACAACCAGCATATACAGAGATGCTACTTTCTCACGACGGAAGGTGGGGATTGGAAAAGATCGATCCTAAAAATAGAAACCCTCACAGATTTCCGTCTCTGACTGTAAGGTTCTAAAATTGAACAGCTAACTCATCTAAAAGTACTCTTAAAGTGGCCATATATGACTGATTTTAGGAAGCTATACTTTGGAAACTACGACTTTACTTACAGGTTGTCATAATTATCTCTAACCCAGACTTCTTTTCAGTTCTCTCAAGAAGTACTTCCACACTGTGGGCCACAAGGGAGTGACAACTCCCTATACTCTCCTAACAGTACTTGAGAAAATTTTCACAATCAAATATCTTCGAATTAAAAAAAAGCGAAATCACCACTCTTTAGCGTTATATGTAGAAACGTGCAAGTTGTACACCTATTTCTTTTTTTAATGAAAGAAGTACTAAAGTGGCTTTCTAAATATTCAGTGTAGGTAGATGTGAGATTTGATTAATGCTTATTTACATTAGGTATACTAGTCAAAACTATATAGTACACTGAGCTTTCAGTAGTGAGTATTAGTAGAATTTAAATATAAATAATAATGAGAATTAAAGTGCCCATTATTGAGAAGTAGCTTAAACTACGACGGAACTATTGTATATTTTCATGACATTTCGGTCTTTAGTAATAATTCAGCTGATGTCAGTTCACCGCGCGAGAGCTTCGAGATAATGTTTTAACTTGATCATTTTATTTACAAAGAATCTTGCTTTTCCATTATTGGTCTTAACAAATACAGTCGATTAGTCAGTCAGTCAGTAACAACGTAGAACTTCGTACGTACGTACATCAGTTCGAGTTGCCACACCACATTAGCACAGAGATGCAGTGGCCGATTCAAATCCCGTGGTGCTAGATGTAGTAAAATTATAAGCTGTAATTAGAAAAATTAGGGTTTGAAGATGTTATTCAAGGAGTATAATCCAGTGAAATCAATTTGGAAAGAGAAAAAAGAAAGGGACATGAAGAATTTGGGAGAACACAGAGTGGATGCACCTGCGTCATCGCAAACGATTTTGAGCCATGTCATCCAAGGTCTCTAACCATCGGTTGATATCATCTCGCGGTCACAGTCGATTAGTCTCTATTAGTATATGCGCATCCTAAGCGGATCATCGTGATATGTCATTTAGTCATAAGTTTTTATCATTAAATCTGGATATTGGCTAGTCAGTGGAATTTTGACGGAGTTTTGTTCTCTGAGTTGGATGGTTTGGTTGTGGAGCTTTCACCGTTCTTCTGAACATAATCAGCACAAACTTCAGGTAGAAGTGAAGTGTTCGAATTTTCCCTTATGTGGTTCACAGCTTGTCCTGTACACCTCGATGTTGATTGGTTCTTGTTGACATCGAGGTGTACAGGACAAGCTGTGAACCACATAAGGGGAAATTCGAACACTTCATTTCTACCTGAAGTTTGTGCTGATTATGTCGTTCAGAAGAACGATGAAAGCTCCACAACCAAACCATCCAACTCAGAGAACAAAACTCCATCAAAATCATCCACCTGAGCTACAGATCATCTCCACCATCTCATAGCCAGTGGAATCTACAACACACATTTTGTCCTCTTTGAGACTCGTCCGCTGGATATGCTTTCATTCCAGCGCTAATGTTCACACATTGAAACTTGAACTCAATACCTTTTTCTTTAAACAACCAACGTGTCATCCGATTAACTACTGATTTTAATTGTTTTTACTGGAAGAAAAAAAAGAAGCAACCAATAATATCATGAATTAGATCTTTTACGTTAACTTTCCTAAATATTTTGCTGTACTCAAACAAATGTATTTTGATTCTCATGTAGGAAATTACAATAAAATTTCACATTCGGTTGTATATCAAATATATCGTTTTTCTTCACTTTTAACCTATCAATCTCGCAGTCTTTAGTGTTTTTAATTTCCGAAAATGTTTATTTGTTTATTTAAATACATGAACATTGGTACAAGGACATGCCGAGTATATATGAGCCACACAAATTATTGGTTTTGTGTGACGACTGAGATACTGTCCGGGTGCCCAAACCGGAGTAGGTGGTTTACTTAGGAGGTCACCCCCGAGTCTCTGACCTGAAGGTCCAATGTATAAGACAGTGGAGCAGTGTTAGGAGATGCAGTTCCATGGTAGCCAGTGACCAATAATATGTCCATACGCCCGTTGTTTCCTCAGGATCCTGGAGTCCATGTGCAACATTGGTTCTGAATTAGAGTATTCTGACTCCCCTAGGTGGGTCTTCCGTATCCACCAAGACACAGTTTAAGTGCTGGACACTCGCTTTTCATCCCCTCAATTTCGTAAACAACATCCCTGCCTCGAGGAGGAACTGAGTAGGACTTCTCTGTCAGTGACTGTATACATGTGGCCATGTGAGAGCATTTCGAGAGGGAGAGTAGTCTATATTCATCATCGGCCGTACTAGAGTATTTGGGGGACTTAAACAGAAATAGGTATTGAGCAAGTGTCAAATCCATATAAAAATAGAGTTAATGCTTTCTTTAATTAATTAGCTAATTCATATAATTTTAATCACTGATCATCAATGATACATATCAATATTATTGATTAGATCAAATATGTCCTTCACTTTGTTGTTGTTATCAATATTGTTTAATGAACATATGATATTGAATACATCTTACTATCTACAATGAAAGAGTATGTATATGTGTATATTTATACATGTTCACAGTGTAATGAAAAGAATAATAATAATAATACTAACAATACACATTCGATGATTATATTGTCTATTGTAATATAATAATTTCATATTATTAGAAACTTTTAATGAAATAAGAATTATTTCTCTCTATGAAAAAAACTTCTATTTTATTACTAAGAACATCAACATAATCAAGGAGGGATATATGATTGACCTTGAGAAGAAAATGAAATAGATTGTTCCAAAGTTTTGTTTTATTTTTTAAATTAAAAGTAAAATAAAACCACACCCAATTTAATCAAGAAATACTATACACAATATTGCTATTAGCCAATTGTGTTCTTTTATTATTTTGTTTTAAAGCTTATAAGTTAATGATAGTTTTATGTAGTATAAGTGTAAATTGTGATTGTATTGAGCTACAATTTTATTTAGTATTTTAAAAGAAAAAGCTGTCAACTGATTTATTATTCTGTTAATTGATTAGAAATAAGGCATCACTAATTGGATATTTTAATATCAAGAGGGGTTTTGTGAAGATTGTAGTAATTTCAACAGTTGAAATCATGTTGGGATATTCAGGAAAATATCCCAAAAATTATTCTGTTAAGTCTAACGCTATTCTTGGACTTGAGATGGTGTCATTTTCTTATTGGTCAATATTTATTTCATGTGTCATTTTCCTACTGGTCAATATTGTACAATGTTATTTTCTATTTTGTGGTACGATGTAGTTTGTTTGGTTGGTATATAAACAGAGTATGTCTCAAATATAATGATTCATATCTCCGAGGCTGAGACTTGTGTTCTGGACTCGACTGGCTGGGCTAGACAGGGAACCCTAGGCCGTTCTTACGCGTTTGCGCGTCTTTGGTCCGGTCGATAATTCTCTGTCCTCTAATCTGCGGCATCACAGTTATAGAAGATCATGAGTCGATTGAAGCTAGACCACTATGGAAGAACTGGACAGCGGTTTCGTCCTATTGTGGGACTCCTCAGCAGTGCGTATCCACGACCCCGCCTCGCGAGATTCGAACCCAAGACCTATCAGTCTCGCGCCTGACGCTTAACCAACTAGACCGCTGAGCCGGCATCCAACGGTGTTAACGTCTAACTTCAACTAATCCACGGAGTTGAGCGATGCATCCACCATTGTCATCAGTGAGTTACTATCTCACAACTGACCCGGTTGAACTCCACTGGTCACTGCTTCTCACTAGAACTACACGATATATATAGGTTCTGATATTTTACTCTTAATTTTACATTTTTTTAACTCTACGAACTCCTGTCTCCTCTTGTTCTATGGTGTAGGAGTAGGTTAGAAGAAAGCTAGGGGCGCCCAGACGAAAACATGACACAAATCTATGAAGTCACTGACAAGTGAACTGAGCCATGTTGGTAGGTGTAGACTACCTGGTTGGGGACCGCGAGACGATAGCAACCAATGATTAGAGACCTTGAATGACATGGCTCAAAATGATTTGCAATGGCGCAGGTGCATCCACTCTTTGTATTCTCCCAAATTCTGATTTCTTCATATCTTTTTCTTTTTTCTCTCTCCAAATTGATTTCACTGGATTATACTCCTTGAATAACATCTTCAAACCCTAATTTTTCTAATTACAGCTTATAATTTTACTACATCTAGCACTACGGGATTTGAATCGGCCACTGCATCTCTGTGCTAATGTGGTGTGGCAACTCGAACTGATGTACGTACGTACGAAGTTCTACGTTGTTACTGATTCACTGACTGACTTTTTTTCCTACAAGTCAAACATCCAACCATGACTTATACCATAATAGAAGTTAGTAGTGTAAATTCACTTGTAGCACTATTTTTTTTTCATTGTACTATCAATAATGCTTAAAATATTTACATCATATTTGGAAGTCTTGAAATGTTTTTACTCTTAATTGATGTTTTCTTTGTTGTTATGGAGTAAACTTTTTATGATTTAATGACTGAATTTTCAATTATTAAAATGAACAAAGAGAATGCTGATTGATAAATAATATTCAATAATACAATATAACTAAATGACACCTATTCACTAGAACGAATTATAGACGTAATCTCTTAAATAGTTGGAAATTAAAGACGAAATTACTAGTCAAAAAATAAATTTTTGTTTGTTGTAAAATGACATGTTTCTATTAAAAGATTTAACATAAAAATAACGTGATTAGGCGTCATAAACAATTGGAAGATATCAGTTTTGTAGATTTATTCACTTTTTAATGAACAAAACACCTGAATGTTTGACTTCCACGTCAATATCAACCGTGTAATAAAATTTATTTTTAAATGAAACCGATTATTTCACATTCGTATAACGGAGGGAATAGAAGTTATTTTGTGTTCCACGTAACAACATATCATAATACGATAATAGGATCGGTGACGGAGATTATACTGCCATAAGACTGGATACTCAATTGATATGCCATTCACAGATACACTACTCACGACCAAATATAGAGAGCCAATGTATAGGCTAGACGTTGCTTCATGCAACACAATTTAAAGCAGTGTAAATTCAGTGAGTTTAGAGTAAAATTACTAATATGAAGGACAGTTAGCAAGCTGGGTATCTTGCAATTCACGCCCAGTGGCCAATCACATCTTACTTTCACTAGCTACATATATCATACATACTATAGTTTCAATGAAAAAAATTCGTTTAGTAGTTTTGTTTTTATTTATTTATATCAACTTTGTTATTTGTCTTTGTAGCTACGATTCCTTATAAATTTGTTTGGCTATTATATACATGCAGCGTGAATTGCGTTTATTCAACAATGACACTGCATTGGATGTTTAGTGGTCATCAATCTTGTAAGTAACTTTTCATAAATAATAGGTATCGATAGTTTGTTAATCTTTTAAATTCATCTTAATATATCTACATTGACATTTTGGTGCTTAACCTACTGATTAGTCAGTTAGTTATAAACAACATAAAGCCAGACACATGTACATCGATTCAAGTTGTCACATCATATTAGCACAGTGAAATGACAAAATAAATCCCAGACTAGTAGTAGTAACAGTATCAGTGGTACTTGAACGGATTAGGTCAGTCAGTCAGCTACAACGTAGGATCTGGCACATATATGCATCGCTCCAGGTTGCCACATCTCATTAGTACATGATAAACACCGAATTCATATAAGTAGTTAATTCAATGGTGCTAAAATATAAAGAAAAGAATTGCATATGAGCATATAGTACAGGAAGAAAGAATTAGTTGGTAGGAAGAAAGAAAGCAATTTTAGTCTCACAGTTTAAGGGAAGACAGTTATCGGAATCGTAATTCAATAAGAAAGAATGAACTCGCAGAATAAAAAAAGCTTATGATCGTTTTCAGACTCAAGATCTAAGGGAAGACAAAAAGTGAACGCAGCTTCTACTTACTACTAATTCCCAGCTACGCTACTTAAGGTTTCCAACATTTGGTTAGAGTAATAGTGAAGGACACCAACCAGGCAGTCTACACCTACCTGCACATCTTTGTACAACAACCAGTGATTTATGGACCGATCTCACGCCTTGAGTTGACCTCTCTGTTTTCCTCACAACCTACTTATACATCGGCGAACGACGTGTACCGAGATAGATGCCAGTTGGATATATGTAACACTTGTCTCAACCACTAAGGTCTAGATGAACGTGAGATTAGCTGTGATCGGTGATCAACTAATGTAAATATCGCAGTTCTACAGGAAGTCAGTCATAACTCGAATAGCTCACTAGTAATGCTTTAGACGGTAAAACTGGATGATTCAGGCTCAGACTCACGAAGGAGCATCAATTTCCTCAAGACCAAATATGCACCTTACTGACGAGTGCCAACCAGTATAAACCTAAGATCAAGGTTTCCTGATAACTATTTCCAACTATCTTAATAGGTAAAATAACCACATTTTTGCGAAATTACATTGAGTATAAAATTGTATTTCTAACGTTTCGTCACGCAACATAACTCACTTCTTCAGAGCAAATAAATAACCGAAATAAAATTAACACAAGTTTAAATGGTACAAAGGAAACAGTGAAGAATATTTTTAGTACAATCAGAGTTATAATAGGTCTGAACATGTGAATGTCGAGTTATTTTTAGTCGAGGTGATTTTGTATCACCGATCACTGCATTAATTTGTGTGTCATAAGTGGAAATAATGTATGGGTAAAACATGTATACATTTGTAATATGAAGTAGAGTGAGATTGAAATTGAGTATGTGTGTGTGTGTTTGTATGTAGATTGTGTGGAAAATGAGTGGGGTCAAATGTGGTTAATTGGATGAATAGTTAGGTGTTCATTGGTATTGAGGGAAGAGGGATTTAGCATCAGATTACTGTCCTGCCTTCATAGTTGGGAGAACATTTCTGAGATATTTTTAATATGAATTTGTTGATTGTTGAAACTAGCATGTAATACTATTGTTGATTTAACTTGTGGGTGTCTCAATTTTACAGGATTATTAGGAGGTGATTTTGTATAAGTTACTTGTTGTTCTGGTCGAGTCGATATCTCACAGGAAGGCTCTCTAATGTAGAAAGCATTGAAATCAACATAACTTAATCTACTGACACAATTTTTGTGTAAAGTGAGCGGGATCTTATCTTTTATTCTAACTAGAGCGTTTCCTAGTCTTGGTTGTAATTTTTCTGTCTTATCTTGACGATAGAGTGAAATCACAGTATCAATCCTAGATCTTTCATTAAAATTGTTATTTAAAGAAAAATGGTTTTTGTCTAAATATTTTTAATAGTATTTTTAGGAGAATTTTCAAATCGTAGGATGTTTATTATATTCTATTTTTCTTTTAGCTTGTCTTCTCCCGAAGTAATTATCTTGATTTCTCTTCTGAAAGGAACCAAAGCTAGGAAAATGTTTGCACTGAATGGTTGTACAGAGCTAAAATCAATGTATCGATGTGAATGTGCTGGTTATCAGTACATGGTTATATTTAGACTTCGATTAGTATTTCTTTTAACTAAACAGTTTAAGAAAGGTAGTTCAACATGTTCTTCCTTTTCGAAAGTGAGATGTTTATCTGTTTGGAGAAATTTCTAAGGGCTTTTTTTTAATAATGACAAATGTGTCATCTACATATCTGAGCCAAATGAGTGGTCTGATGGTACTGGCACAAATAAGCAACTCAGTATGGGACATAAATAAATTAGCAACAATCAAAGATCCGATGGCTACTCTGTTCCTCCCTTTGAAAGTGCATGTTGTTGAATTCAAGCATAGTTTGAAGGATTTCATGATTAAACTATTGCTAAATAACTATCTGCTAGATAGAGTAATAATATTATTTATTAAACCTTTAATAAATTCTAGACAACAATAATTTGGAATGCTTGTGCATAAAGATGCAACATCATAACTTACCATTGTTTCGTTCTTGCTGATGGATAACTCCAGGTTCTTTGATTTGATTTCGTATGAATCCTTTAAGACATTAATTAGGTTTTGTTGAATTAGCTCCAGTATTGTTTCGATATTTAGATAAAGCATATGTGGGAAGTCCAGTCAGAAATTCACTTTTCTCTTATTTAACCTTATTACTAACCACTTGAAGATTTTCGAATCGATCTTTGAATATAGTCCCTTCAGACCTATTATGATTTTGACTTTACTAAAATATTCTTCATTGTTTTCTTTGTACCACCTAAACATGTGTTAATTTTATTTTGGTTGTTTATTTGTTTTGAAGAAGTGAGTTACATTATGTGACGAAACGCCAGAAATACAATTTTTACTTATTGGGATATAACAAATATATACTTATCACTAACCTTCTGCCCGATGCTCAGTTTATTTGAAACGATCAAGTCCAACCTTGGTATTGATTCGTACCTAATAGGTTAAGTTTGGTATTCTTGGATGGTTATTCTTACTTTTTTGTTTTTCCTCTTTTTTAATTCCTCTGTGTTATATTGTATGTGATATTGAGATAGTAGTTTATAGAGATATTGTTTACTTCGAAGTTACATCATGGGATGATTTGGACTAGCCAACCATTGAATATTAAGAAGTGGTAGATAGCTGTCTTGTTGTTGTTTGGAATTCGTCGAAAGTTGCATACCCAAGATCCTGGACAGGGTTAACTTCTTATGCCTACAAATCTGACACAGGACATACTATATATGAGCCACTAAGATGGGTGTGATGTAGCGCGATTCCTAAACAGTATCATCATTGAGCTACAGTGTCAACCTCGAATTTTTAATTTCTATACATTAATTCTTTTAATTAGAGTTTTGCGAATCCATCTCGAATCTAGTTGCTCGTTAAAACATTATTAAGGCGACATTTCCCTATTTTAAGTTATCACCCTTTCAACGAAACCTGAGTTCGATCACATCTTCGATTGTGAATGTATACTGTTGAGAAGTGCCAAACTAGGACGAAACACCTATTCAGTCTTCCTGAGTTTTTAATAATTCTGTAGCTGATATTAACTTTAGAGGGAAACTAACTTTTAATTTTGTCATTAAGTAGCTAACTATGTCTAACCCTTCTATTGTATTTTTACTCTTTGCAATGTTACTGTAGTGAGTTCGATCATTTCAAATTGGGTGGTACTTATTGATTGCAATAATGAGTAAAATGTATTCAGATTTTTAGGGACTGCATTCAAACTTAATTGATGGTCTCTTTACTGATGACTGTTTTTATACTTTATTGGTTGAGTTTTTGTTGTGTGTATCTTCGTTATGCACGTATCTATATTGACTGGAGTGTTGATCACACTGTTCTCATGTTTTACCTTTGAAACCGATTGCTTAAAAAACATTTTATAATTTAGAAATTGTTTCCATCTGGATTTGATATCATCAATTGCAAGAGTGTTAGAAACTAGTTGTAACAGTGAACGATTGTTTTATTCTAAATACAAAACTTCTCAATTGTATAGTGAATCCTAAATTTTCAAGCTTTATTATGGACATAATGGCGAGACTCTAATTTATGGACGAGCCAATCAGAAGCGTTCTAGAGATTTCAGTGTTTCGGCGCCAACTTCAGTGCTTAGTGCTAACGTACGATCGGTTCACAGGGAATTTTGTACAAAACGTGATAATTGAGCGGCTATAACAAATAAAACGGCGGGACTATAATTTGTAGACGAATCAATCAGGTGTAAGATAATAGATCTCGGATTTTAACGCGAAAACCTTTCATCTATTTGGCTAAATAAATTTCTGGCATTATAGCTGATGTCAGCTCGTGATGAAAACCCCATATATAATTCCTAACTAAGGCAAATTACGACAATTATTGCGAACTGGTTAATAAAAGCACCAGTAACACTGGCTGCAATATATTTGGATGTTTGGAGAGCGTACAGACTCCTACATAGGCTTGGTTATGTGCATCGTGTCGTTATCCACAAGTGGTATTTTGTGTACTCAACAATCGGAGTGCACACAAACAATATTGAAGCTATGCTGTCGAGGCTGAGAGTTTTTCGGACTTTATCATGGATCCAGAGGCCGACTGCATGCATTACCGTTTTAGAACCTCTGAACCTCTTTCTAACCTAGGCAATTTTTTGAACCACGTATTAGGAGTGTATCCACTTTGTTTCCTTCGTTTTGTATAACATATTTTTACTTTACACTGGCCGTTTGCTGATTGGCTAATATTTCTCAAGGTCACATAAAATTCGTTCAAAGGTCCTCCATAAATTATAGTCTCACCGGCATAATATCTGATCATTCATTTACTATTTAATCCAGCATCTATTTGTAGTCAAGATAACATTTTAAGGTAAGGGAAGGAATTAGTCTCAAGTTTTTTAAACTTTCATATTAATTAAGGTT